TGGGGTTCACGGTGGCTCATAAGAATGGATAAATGATCGGCGAGACCCCCTTGAGCTTGAAGCCATCATGGTTCCCTCTTCTCTTTCTTTGCGATTAGCCAAACCCCCTGAGCCATTCTAAATGGCTTGTGATGTAGCTTGACTCAATATCCGTCCTGTTTTCAAATCGTTTTCGACCATCTTCCCAATCTTGATAGCCTCAGCGAATGGCTTACCCATAGCGAATATCATATTCCAGAAGTAATCCGCCTCTTGGGCCTATAGGAAGACCGTAACCATTTCTGCTTCGTCCATTGGAGTTTTACCCTGGCGGCTTGCTCGCGCCATTTGACAGCATATTCGCGGAAGATTTCCGCGGTTTTCTTTTTCAAATTGGACAAAGAATTTCTATCGGGAGCGATGTCCACATTATACTGGAATTGTCGGACAAAATCTTGGGCCAGATCATCCCACGCATGCCAATGGGTGATTTCTTGATCCATGTAACACTCAGAAGCGATTCCTACCAGATTTTATCTGAAGTACGCCATCAGAAGTTCTTCTTTTCCACCAGAACTTCTTAGCTGATTTCAATACCTTTTTAAATGGGCGATCGGGTCTCCGTGCCCGTCGTGCTTTTCAAATTTTGGCATTTTAAAACCAGCTGGAAAATGAACATTCGGAAACATGCACAAGTCCAAGTAGGAGACTTTTTTGGCCACTTAGGCCTTGCATGTTCTTCAAGCTCTGTTCCAAGCTTTTCATTTTTCCAGCCATTTCTTCCTGCTCGAGATTTTTAACTGCTCTTTCTGGCTCAATCGAAAACTCATATTGCGGTTGTTGAGCGTACGAGTTCGAGAGTGACATGAGTCTTATCATGATAAAATTGCGGACCATGGAATGTGAATGTTGGGGGTTCAAAACACGGCCTGGGCACAGTTGGTTGTGCTACGGTAAAGATTGCTGGTGCAGAAAACAATGTTGGAGGCGCCCCGAAAAATGGTACCTTGGGGCGAACCACAGAAGGCATGCCGGTAAAGTTTGATGACATTGTAGGGTATCCGCACGGGATAATGGGTTGGTCATAGGGACATTGGTGGCTCCATCCGTCCTTGGGATCAACTCAGGGAATCTAGGGATTGCAGTTGGCGGTTCCCTACCATTAGACGAGGCGTCCCAGATTTCCAACATGCGGAAACACATCATCTTATTCTCTTCAACGGTTGCTGATTCAGGTTGTGAAATAGCCAGTGCCGGGCTATCCTCAGGGTTGATAATGTGGAGAATGCTTTCAGAGGCCATTGGAACCTTTCCTTTGGATCTTGAAAAACAGGGATGAGAAGCCAGATTATCAACAAGACCAACCACCTGAAATAGATCTTGTCTAAAGGCACGCACAACAACCTTGTTAGTTTTGAAATATTTTAACAAATAGGAAATCACACGTGGGATGCAATGCACCTAAACAGTTAAACGCTTCTACCATGTGTTTGCAACGGTTGCGTGTTTCATCCCAGCTTTCACTATCTCTTTTCCATTCTGTAACTCTTTCCTTTCATTTTCCACTCTTTTTTTCTCTTTTGTTTTGTCATTCCTGGTTTTTCTCTTGTTGTTGTCACTCCTAGTTTTTCTCGTTTCTTTTATTTATTTTCCTCTCAATCTTTCTCTTTCTCTTTCTCTTTTTTTTCTTTTGATTTTCGCTCAGATTAATTATAGCTATGATCGTATCCGATGAGGATTGCCTACGTATCATGATGTCGCATGAATCAGACCATTACGTAGTTCAGGGGAATAAATATAAAATGAAATCAAATAAAATTTTAGGGTTTTTTAATATTTCATTAATAAAATCTTTTTTGGGGTTTTCATTACAAGGACTCGAAAACATCGACAACTTACTTAAAAAGGAAGACATACAGACTAGAAGCAAAATAACAATAGACTCGAAATGGATGAAAGGACAAATAGACTCGATGCAAGGAAAGTAAACTACAGACTCGATGACTAAATAATTAAGAACATAGATGACTCTCAAACGTTATTCCAGGGGCTCGGGTGACTTCAGTCTGTCTCGGCGCGGGCCTGCTTATAAGCTCTTCCTGAATGAACTCTAGGTCGGCCATGACCTGGCGAGCGAAAGACAACACTGAAGCAAAGAACATAACACAAGTCATATTCTCACACTCATTGCATTTCATCGCAGTGTAGTCAGCTTTTTCTTTGATTCTAAGCTTAATAACACCCTTCTCCTGGAGCAATCGTCCAATCTGCTGCTCTCGGGCTTCCACTACTTGCATGGCCCTGTTGTTCCGGTCTTGCAATTTCAACACATTCTCTTCAAACTTGTTAATCAGTGCATAGCAATGCTTCCTCTCCGTTCTAAAGTCTTGCACTTGTTGACCCATTTCGTTTTCAAAAGCGGCCAACTCTTTCCATAAGACCGTGATTCTCTGTCATAACTTGGCTTTGCCTGGCAAGCCAACCTTGTCCATTTTTCTGCATCTTTCGCCAATTGGACCATCCTTTCCCGAGCTTGTGCTAAACCTTTTTCAGCTTTTGTTAGATCGGCTGCATAGTCATGCACTTTTTGCCTTAAGTTGCTCATGCTTTTTTTGTCCTTTTCACTTCTTACAGGCGTCTGTGCGGCTATTCTCATTTCTCGGAGTTGGGCTCGGAGGGCCTCATTCTCACTGGTCAGACTTTTCTTTTCACCTTCAGCCTCTTGTGCTTGTAAGTCATTCTCAAATTTGAGGTTTCTCAGCTTTTCTTCTAAGGAGTGAATGATTGCTTGGTATCCCTTTTCCTTTTCTCCCTAGGTCAACTGTTCTCGGATTTTATCATCAAAAGCTTGAACATGTGGCCTTTTGGCGGGCCTTTTGGGCTTGGGCTTGGGCTCGGGCTCTGGCTCATCATCTTCGCGAGACCTTTTTCCGAACCACATAACATAACCTAGGTCTACCTCACCTCTCGCAGGATTTGGTACCTGGGTATAATCTTTCAAATACCGACAGCCATCCCAAATTTGCTGGATTAAAGTCTTGGGGAGTGGAGCTTCTGGGTGTAGCTCAATGACTTGGACACTCAAATCTTCATCCTCAGGCTATGATTGTAGAGCCTGGTCTACAACCGTTAACGACAAGTTCTGGACAATGCTCATTTTGTACCTGTGGATGGTTAGGGTTAGGGTTGACACTAGTTTCAAAAGACAAACCAATGGACTCTTTTGCAAAACAATCTTTCAATTTTCTAAGAAAGACAAAAGAGAGGGTGACTATTTATGCAACATTGGCCAAACCAAGGATGGCTATTTTTGCAACAATGGCCCCTTCATACTTTCAAGGAAAGTTTTGAGGCCGGGGGAGGGCACTATGGTAAAAGTGATGCCCGATTGATAGACACTTCAGTTCTTGCGAGAATAGCCCTTCGACAATTTTAAAGATATTCTAAGGCTATTCCAACAGAAATGGCTCAAGATGTAACCGAAGCTGGGTCGGCTTACTTATTTCACCAAAACACTGGACACATTTTATTTCCTATTGGTTATTTTTACAAAAATAAGGTCGGACCCTATGAGGTTGCCTACGTATCTCACATTCGATGAGAAACAGACCTGCGTAGTTCGATCAATTTTGACAGAATAGGGGACACTTGAAAATTTTAGTTCATTTTGAAATGACTTTCCTCTCTCTTATTTTTCTTTCAAAATTTTGGCAGAGTTTCGGGATTTTTCAAATACTGGAATTTTTGGAAATCGGATGAATTTTCTCTCTCCTACCTCTCACTCCTACTTTTTCTCAATTTTCTATACTTATTCTAGAAGCCGGTCAACCTGCAAACCAGATCAAACAAAATGCACAAGTAGCACATAAGATGCATCAGGATGGTCTCATAATTTTGGTTACACCTGTTCTAGACGGACTCAACCCATGTGTTGAGTCCTTAAAGTCAAATGCACGTAATGCAAACAAACGTTCCTACTAGGGATCCGGCATGGAGGCTATGTTATTCTAGGTTTAAATCCTGAGGATGTGTTTTAGACATGGCCGGCCCAAGCGGACAGCTCGAGCTGAGGTGGGGGCAACGTACTGGGAGCACGAAAGTCTACCCGACCTAGTTACTAACCCAGCCTCGTCCTAATTGGTATGACCTCTAATAGAAAAGTGGGCCACATGCACGTGTGCATTGTAAATTCAGAAGACTCGGAAGAAAGGCATAAGAAGACAGTTTATACAGTTCAAATAATATCAAAGCGGTAAATGAGTGACAATTAGCACATTAGGCCACAAACACAATAATATCAACAATCAAGAAATCCAAGTATAGATCACATTACAAGCTCGAATTCTTAACCCTGAACCAGAGATTCTGGGTTCTTATTCCCCAACAGAGTCGCCAGAGCTGTCACACATCCTTTTTTCGAGGAATAGGAGTTTTTCCAATTAAAGTGACATTATTCGAAATGCAATTATTTATCTAATTAGAGTCGCCACTTGGAATATTTATTATGGTTTTTCAAGTCGCCGGTTTATTTTTAAAGTCCCAAATCGAGGAAATTGACTCTGTATTAAAGTCCGCGAAACACAGAAGATTGGATAAGGAATTTTGTTAACCCGGAAGATGGTATTAGGCATTCTCGAATTCCGTAATTTTAGCACGGCCGCTTTAATCACATATGGCTTAATTAATTATTTAATAATGTATATTAGAATCTATGTGCGTTTTACCTTTTATCGCTTTTAATTATGGCGTTATGGATTTATCTTTGAAACGGATCACATGTGTGTAAACCTATTTTATTTAGTGTGCTAAAAATCATGTCACATGTACGTGTACACAATTAATAATACTTATTAATATTAAGGTTGTTTCGCCAAAGTCGCGTGAAAGCGTACCTTGATTTATTTTGGGAATCATAATTATGTCACATGAACGTGTACATAATCACGATGGTATATTAGAACGCGCCTAAAATATTCTACGAATATTCATGAGTTAACTAATTTCCTAAAGTTCGAGGATTAAGTGAAAGGGTCTATCCTTATGGCATTGATTGATAAAGATTAAACTACAAGCTTGGGTGCACAGATGCTACTGAAATTATAACACTAGTTAAAGTCCGACCGTGGCAATTCATGAAGGAAACATGCAATGTTTGATTTAAGAGAAACAGAATAAGTTTGATAAAGAAGGCAATGTGAAGCACCTGGTTGTGCTTTATCATAGGAAAGTAAATTAGTGGATTAGTCATACCGGTTGACTAATAATTAATTAATAGCTTATGAGTTGCCTAACTAGAGTCCTATGCTAAAATTTCAAACAAGTCCAAATTGTGAAGCACATATGGGCCAAAATGAAGCCCAAGGTGTCCCTACCCTTCTGCAATGGTTGGCCTGCTCATGTGACAGGGAAAGCTCCTAGATGGGCTTAACGTTGAGTCCAAATACATGTAGATTCCAAACTCCCTTTGATTCTAAATTGAGTAAATAGCTCCATTTGGGCCAACTGTTCAGCCCAGTCAATCAACATGGCTTTTCAATATAATTTGCAAATATCAGGAGTAACAAACTTAACTACAGACTTTCTTAAAAATGAATACATGAATACTCAAGCTAAATCACTACAACACGGAAAGGAACAAAGGAAAATAGTTCAAATTCTCACTCATACTAACAAACATTTCTATGAACCAAACACATTCTATTTTCTGGACCTAAACAATATTACGACATATAAGCTTCGAATCATTAACTCATAATCTACGCATGCTTTTGACTTCAAATTGAAACCCATGATTCCACCTTCACCCTCAAGTGTGTAAAGAAGCGACTACAGTAGGCATATTCAATTCAAAACTTCATAAGCTAATATTAATGCTTGACTAACAGTGATTTTACAACAGGGTGAGTGAACAATCAGTAGCAACTAGTCCAGTTAGTGAGTAATCATAGCTTAAATGTTCAGCTCAAACAAACAAACGTAATCAGATAATCATCAAGAAACAAAGATGAAACATATTTCACATTCAAACATCAGGAACATATAGAAGTAGACGTAGTCAAGGAATCAACATATCAACTCTGTATTTCTACATTCACAAGAGTTACAAAAGGAACTTTACATACCTACTAGCAAGAGACAGTCAGCAAATGGTCAAATAAAGGCAAGGAGAAAGAAGGAGAAGCTCAAGCTAATAAATCCAGCAAACACCAGCACTTCTATCACCTTGGAATTTCCAGAGAATATAAATAAATGAGCTGAGATTTGGACCAACTTCTGATTCCCTTTTTTTTTATTTTTCTTTTAGCTTTTGGTTTCTGAAACTTGAAATTCAGATCTGGATTCTTAATTTTCAGCTACTACTAAGATGTTTTAGTGTGTGTAAAAGAAAGTGAGAGTAGAGGAGTGAGAGATCAGTATGTGAGATATGCCAGATGAGAAAACAAAAATGATAATCTGAAAGAGTGTAGATGCGTCAATGGATGAGGGAATTCTCTTAAAAATTCATAAAAAATTAATGAGTGTCTTATATGCCGTAAAATGAGGGAATAATCTGCAAAAAGTGTCAGCTGAAAAATAGGAAAGATGCATTTTTTTTAACAGTATTGATACAGTTGTCCCTCTTCAGATATTCTTTTCTATTTTACAGCCCCTTATTTTCTGTTATTTGCTCCCTAAGTCCCTTACACCTGGCCATTTCTTAGTTTTTCTTTGCAATTTAGCCCTTTTCTACACTCTCCTAGAGAATTCTAAAAGATTCTCCTAAACTAAATCCTAAAACAAAACTTTCAGAACCACTGCTAATTGCCAATGACCGGACTTACATGCGTGGGCCTCAAGCTACCAAGCCCAAACCCCACAAATCTAAAAAAAAACAGAACATGCCACTACTACTCAAACTAATTTCAATTCCAATTTGAAAAGCTAACAACTATCACTGTAAAAAGAATTAAAACAAATCTAATATATGACTAAACTAGCTATTATGCAATTTAGCTGCTATTTTAGTCATGTTAACATCAACAAATCAAATTATTATGTAAACACATAAAAATTACTGATTGTCCGACTAAACTAACTAGGTGAATCATCAATTAATTGACTAACTAACAGAACAAAGATAGAGAAGAAGAGGAGAAGAATACCATCTCGGAACCCAAATCAGCCAGTAATAGAGGTCAAGGAAGTTGGACGGAACTCCGACGGCCATGCGGTTAATTCGAGATCATCATCAATTGATTGCACTTATTAAGAGCAATCTACGGATGTCGATTTCGAAATCAACAGACTTAAAATGGAGGAATAGGCAAATTAAATTTTCTGAGAAATTTCAAATCTGAAAATTGGATAAACCTGTGGGGATTTCATAAACGAGACTATGGGTATTAGAAAGAGGAGGGGATGTAGATTGTTTGGTGAAGATTTGAAGCCATTTGAGGGTTGTCCGCCGCCGTGAGACGATTTTCGGCGGTGGAATAGGGCGGACAACGGTGGGGTAAAAAAGAGAGAGAGAGAGAGAGGAGAAAGGCGGTCTTTGGGGGTGGGGTAGGGTCATTAGGACAGTTTTAAGAGATGGCTTGGGCAGTTCCAAACCGTCAGGTTATGATCAACGAACAATGGAGAGAATAACACCAAACGACATTGTTTGGACATCAATGAAGCTGGACCGGATTTATGGACTGGGTTTGGGTTGGGGCGGATTTCATGAATTGGACTGCTGAAGTGTTTGGCCTATTTTGAACATAGCAGCCCTATTTTCCTTTTCTATCTTCCTTCACTTTGATTTTCAGATTTAACCATTTTTATTTTATACTCTTAATTAAGATTAATTTGCGCAATTAATCTAAACACCTATTTTAGTTTAGCAATTAACTAATTAATTAATTAACAATGTGAACTAATGAAAGAAAACTACTAATTTAAACCTAAAAACTAAAATGCAAAATGACGACTGTATTTTTTTGTGATTTTTGTTTGACAATACATTTATTAATGTAATTAAATCCTAAAAATGCAATTAGAATCTAAAAATGTAATGAATGAAAGAAGTTCTTTGTTTTGATGTTTTTTGCTATTTTGAAGATGCTTTTAATGATGCAAAATGACAAACAAAATTCCTAAAATCCTACAAAAATTATTAAAAATTATTTTGAATATTTTTAGGAGTAATTTCGCATAGGCCAAAAATTACGTGCTCACACTTGGCTAATATTTTAAAAATGGCTATACAATATCATCCCAAATAGTCTAGTGATAATATATAGTACTAGTATATAGTAACTTAGTTAAATTTTTTAAAAAAAAAAAACAGTGAGGAACTTGAACAAGTATAGGCCACATATATCTTTAAAACAGTACTAGAAATAGAAAATAAGCATCTGAAATGTATGCAAACAACGTATATAGAAAATATGCATACACAACAAATGGAAAAATTCCGATTATCTGCATTGTTATATTATCCAAAATTACAAAGCATGGTTGATATTTTTACTTTCCGATAGGATCTATAAGAATGAAGTTCCCAAAATTATAGCCAAGAAAAGAGACTAAACAAAGCTCTCTCATCATGCTATTCATGAACTTCACTCTTCAAGTCCTATAAACAAAATTAGCATTTGCATAAAAGCAACCAAAATAAAAATTTTAAAAAAAAGAAGACAACTATCTTTCTCGAGTTGCAAAAGAAAAAATAATAAAATAAAATAAAAAAAAGAAAAAAAGGAAGATTAGAGATTAGTTATGTATACATCATCCCTTGCTAGCTAGCCTTGTGATGAGAGTTCTATGTGTCATTCCACACGGTGAAAGTGGGGGGCCCACCATGACAAATAGCGACGGTGTTATTCCTCGAAGCGAGAGCAGGAACGGCTGTTGACATCCAATTGTTACAGTTAACAGACTCCTGTTGATCATAAAGACCGGCCGCCTTGACCGAACCGTTAGATGTTGATTGTTGAGAATGGTAGTAACCAAATATATTCTCATTACCAAGTTGTTGCTTCACTTCATTCTCTCCATATCCATTACCTTGGCTCAATTGTGGCAACACAAATCCACCACTAGGACTACTTGCATATCCAACACCTTGATATGTAACATTATTATGTTCCATTGAAGTAGAAGAAGTATCCAATCCCATAAGATTGTGTAAAGCTGAAGTAGGTTGCATGAAATTATGAGCAATATTCCCATGTTGAAGTTGATGAAAATCTTGAAAATTGTGAGTACTACTCAAATGATCAGAATCTTGAACTTCTTGTTTGCACCATAGCCTTTGTTGTTGTTGTTGTTGTTGTTGGCTATAAGGGTAATGCATATTCAAAGGCTGAGCTTGTTGGAATGCAATATTAGACCAGATATGATTCGCGTTCGCGCCATAGCTACTGATTGTTCCATTTGTGAGATGAGATCCAATGGTTTCTTGACTAACTCTTTGATAATCTAGAGCAATTTGATCAGCTTGTTCTGCATCTTTGAGACGTTTTGCTGCACCTCCAATGGGTAATGTACTACTCTCTAGTATGCTTTTTACGTCGTATCGGTTTATTTCAAAGTTGGTTACTGCATTTAGTCCACGAAATTTGATTGCTGCAATGTCATAAGCCTCTGCAGCTTCTTCTTGTGTGCCTATGAATAGGAATAAAGTTAGAAGGTAACCATCAAAATATGATTTTCCAGGAAAATGGTTTGAGGAAAAAGCATTTTTGTACATGATTATATATATATAGGGACATAATATGACACTAGTAAGTCTTTTGGAGGAAAAAAAGAGAGGAAGAATTAACCTAACCATTTCAACTAAATATAGTTGGTGCATATATAATATGCATATAATTCATGTATAAATTATGTATAACCGTGTATAATTAGTGAATAATTTATGTATACCGGCTAGAAAAGTAAACAACGAATTTAGCCGGCTATTTGTGTAAATCCCCCCAACCATTTAATATGTATCAAGGGACATAATATGATATATAACTATTTAAAGAGAGGAAGAATTAACCTAAATAGTTGTACGTCTACCCAGCCACTTAAACAAAATATAGCTGGTGGATATATGATATACGTATAATCCATGTAAATTTATGTATAACCGTGTAAATTAGTGAATAATTTATGTATATCGGCTAGAAAAAATAAACAGTGAATTTAGCCAGCTATTTGAGTAAATCCCCCCAACCATTAATATGTATCTAGGGACATAATATGACACTATAACTATTTAATATATATTAATGATTCTTTTGGCGAAGGCCGTCCACCCAACCACTTAAACTAAAGATAGTTATTGGATATATAATATGCGTATAATCCATGTATAATTTGAGTATAACCATGTATAATCAGTGAATATATTATGTATACTGGCTAGAAAAAGTAAATGGTGAATTTGGCCGGCTATTTGTGTAAATTCCAAATAAAAAAGAGAAAAAAGACTTACTGAAAGTGCCTAGATAAAGATCCTTGTTTCCAGCAACTCGTCCAATTCTTGCTTGCCATCTTCCATGTTGATGGTGCCTGTTTTTACAAAGAAATATAAAACCTAAATTATTTTTCTTAACTATTTTAGGAAGGAGATTTTAAGCAAGAGCCAAATGATATCATACACTAAAAATTAATAATCACATATACCTTGTAACACCTCGATAGATGGATGCACCACGAGAGAACCCACTGCTCTTCCTATATTAGGGCAAAAGAATATTAATTTTATTCATTTACTCGCCGTAATTTTTCATTTAGACACGTTTTCAAAGTGTTCAATAGGTCAGACTAAATACGACGTCTTGAAAAAAAATATTTGACAAGATTCGAGATAAACTATGTATTTCGGCTTTTTCCCCCTTAAAACAACTTGATTAATGTATAGCTTTAAAATTTTACCTTCGTAAAGATGCCACATACTCTTGTCTAGTCATATGCTTCATCTCCTCCAGCTCTTTTTCATAATTACTAATCTGAAAATTTTCATATAAAAAATAAAACAAAATTTTCTGTACGGAACATTTGTTTGTTTTCCACTAGATAAATTTCCTAGGATATTGAGAAGTCCACTACATAGAATTCTATGTACTTACTGGGAAATTCGTGGTAGTTGTCGGACCCCAGTATTTCAGTGCTGCTAAATCATAAGCTCGAGCTGCCTTTTCTTCTTTATCATACCCTCCTATTAAATATTTACATTAAAAAATAGATCAGTTACACAAAATTAATTATACGAAGAATTTAACTTATATACAATGACAGTATAAAAACGTTTATACTATAGTATTCTTTAGAACGAGGAGGGGAGACTTGGAGCAACGGTAAAGTTATCTCCATGTGACTATATAGGCCATGGATGCAACCATAATGCTCACATCATGGTAGGATGTCTCACACCCATTGGAGTGCGGCCCTTCCCTAAAATGAGATGCCTAATGCATTGGGCTGCGACCACCGTTCTTTAAAATGTGTCGTAACAGGTGATTTATAATTTTCTTGGTTTTTAATTCCATTTTTTTTGTTACACTTTCAGCGTAAAAGTTATTACAGTCAGTGTATAGAAGTTAAAAACACGACAAAATGTTTATATTATGCAAAATGTGTATATATACAAGAATAAAAGGAACTGTATAACTTACCCAAATAAACTGCAGGAAGTATAGAAGTGTCGAATCCATCACCAGGAAATAAAATGAGAGCAAAATCAAGAAGATATCCAAGTTAGTATTTTGAAAGGGAAAGAAGTTATAGTAGTAAAAAAGCAATAATAAACAATAACTACGCCTCCGTTTCAAATAATTTGGGTGGACAGTAAGAAGTAGTAATGGTTGAGTAAAATGAAAAAAATAGTAAAAAATAAAAATAAAAATAAAAATAAAAAGGTGAAAATTTGAAGTGGGAGACAATGAAGGGAAACATACCTTGCCTTCCTTTGCGAGTTTGTCCCTCTCTTCTGCAACTATTATCCCACAAATGTGCCTCATATCTCCCCGTCCACCTATGCCTACATACACCAATATATATATATATAGATATATAATAAGTATTAGTTACACATTAGTCCTAGAAAATTAATTACAAAACGTATATCACAAAGAAAACACTTACTTTACACTATATAAACCACTAAATAAAGCAAGAGGAACAAGAAAGAGATTTGGTTATAATTAAGGTTGTTTAAAATAAAAGAACGAAATTTCCTATCGAGTAGTAAATCATTTTAGGATAGACTTGCATTAAGGTAAGCTGCCTACATCACACCCCTTAGGGTGCAATATTTTTCGGGTCCTACATAATACGAAATACTTTGTGCATAGAGCTGTCCTTTGTTTGAAGGACGATAATCCAGTAGTCAACCTAAGGATTCCATCATTCATGTTTTTTTTGTACTAAGCACAAAAGAAAATAAAGAAGAAAAAGAGAAACTATATAGGGAGAAATGAAAAGAAATTGCAAGAAAACATATTTAAAGACGATTTTGTATTTTTTTTTTTTGACTCCCTTCCCACTTTTGCAATGCAATCTTATACTCCATTTTAGACTTCTCCTAAGGACAAAGTTCACTAGAAATTTTACTATATGTAGTATGGCTCATAAATATTACTTTTTTTTTAAAGCAAAAGATGGAGGAAGAATGTAAAAAATGCTACCTCGATCTTTATTTCGAAGTAGCATTTATTTCTCTAAAATAGCCAAAAATTAGAAGCTTGTGCCTCGTTCCTACCTATGAAATATAGCGATAACGAGAAAGAAAAGAAAAAGGAAAAAAGAAAATACCTTGTAACACCACGGTAAATAGAAGTTCTTTGGCCAAACGTATCAATAGATTTCCTAGGCACTGCTTCTATTGCACCATTATTTTGTACATCAATACTACCATTGGTACCATTCGCATTCTCTTGTTGTTTGTTATTTTCCGACGAGCAACTATTCTCTCCACCGCCACCGCCACCGCCACCGCCACCGTCGCCGGTGCTCATAGAAAGCGACAAGGACTGTGCATTATTACCACCACCTACCACCACACCCTCCCCCTCCTTCTTGTCATTTTCTGATGGGGTAGTGGTGTTAGGGTTATTTCTTAACCAATTCTTGATCATAGAAAGCCCTATAGTATTATTATTAGTGTTACTTCCAATATTGTTAGTGGTATTAGTAACACTAGAATAAATACTATAATCTCCATTAATATTGTTGTTGTTGTTTTGTACTTCACCAATACCAAGAAAGTTTTCTAGCTTTGGTGGTTCTTGATTTTCAAGATGTTGAATAGTATTGCATGAACTACCCATTAGCATTGACATCTCTGATGTTGTTTTGTAGTTAGGATCATGAGAGCTCCAATCTGCATATGCAAAACAAAAAATAAAATCTCAAACATAGGCAAAATAGTTGATTTTTTTAAATTAATCCATCTATTCAGACTTTCATCTCCTGTGGTGATAGGGGGTTTTGACGTAAACCCCAACTATGTATATATAAAACCATTATTGCATCTAACAAAAGTCGTTCTTAATTTGTCCGTCGCTAATTCATCCGAGGCAAACAAAGGACAACAACAACCCAGTATAATCCCACAAGTGAGGTCTGGGAAGACTACGCAGACCTTACGCCTACCCTGACATGGTAGAGGGGTTGTTTCTGATAAACCCTCGGCTCAAGAAGATGAAAAAAGACAATAGAGTAGTAACAGCAATAGAGGCAAACAAAGGAGGAACTGCATAAAATGACTATAAACAATCACAACATAAGTGTCTTGATATTTTCTACTTGTTTTCCTTTGAAGGATTAGGGTTTTAAGTAGGGAAAAAAAGAGACTAACAAAGAGGAAATTAAATTAAATGTTGTTACTAACCTTGTGATTGATGATTTCTGTTAAAAGCTTCAAAAATACCAAAAGGGGTATTATGAGGAACAACATTAAGGGAAGGAAGTGTAGAGTCATCATGATGAGAAGTAAGATCAAAACATTCTCCTGAAACATCAACTGAACCTGATATTTCTTGAGATGTTTGTGATGTTAATTCCTCATGTGCTGAAAGAGAGAATCCTAACCAGTTGTTCATAGCCATCAAATTTAAATCTTGGTTAAAAAAAAAATAATACTTCACTAGTTATATATAACTATTGAAAAACACTAGTAATATTGATTTTTTTTTTCCTACTAAAAGTTCATGCAATATGAAGTGCTACTGGAAATTAAAATAGAATGAAAAAGATAACTCCATGAGTTGGTATTATAGACTAAGTTGTTTGAAGAAGGTGAAAAAAAGAAAGAAGAAGAGAGGAAGGGTCCAAAAAATGAAGAGGAATCATTTCTCCCAAAGCAAGGTGAAGATTTATATGAAACTCAAAACCCACCCACC